AAAATTATAAGTTAGTTAGAGGCAGGTACTATTTTTCTAGGCAAGGAAGGAGTTAATGTCAAGGTGTAAAGACAGTAGGGATCAGAGATCAGAGTTAGACCTAGTAGACTACAGAGTTATAAAGTCTGCAAAGAGCCCTATGAGGAGATAGAAATATAAAATTCAGATTTGAAAAAGTTGTAGTCAAGATATAGGCAAAAAACCCCAAAAAGTTTAATCCAAAAAAAAAGGAAACTCTTCTGAGGTTTAGTTCCTTTGTAAACTTTTTCCTAAGATCACTTATCTATGTTTCAAAGACCATCCAAAGGCCTACATAGCAGTTGTCCTAGATGCAATGACAGACTGACAGAGTGAGGAATAAATGTCTAATTTCAAATCACCTAGATGATCTTACACAGGTGGTTTGAAACCTTCCCCCCCAATAAATTTTTAATTTAAAAATTGGTAGGATTCATCTGGCCATATGGAAACTGATAGGTTTTTCTGTATACAAACTATGTTAGGCTTGTATATTTTTATTATGTTTACAAAATCAATTGTTAGAAAATTCATTTGATTGACTATATCCTGTACAATCAGACATGGTTATTCACACAAAATAATCTCTTAGGTAAATTTTTTATTTACTCATTATTTCTGAGTAGTCTGACTGTGTGAGCTCTTCTAATCCATCGACAATTACTATGCTTAGAATCTTGCTGTGTAGAAACGTTACGGTATCTGGAGTTTTCACACTGGATGGAAATTGTACAAGAGGAAGACTAGGACTAAGAATTGAAAAGTTATGTGACCCAAACCAAATGCTAGAGAACTGTATAAATTTCCAGAATGGAAGCAAATGATAAATGCCAGATTCCAACCACACATGGTTGTGAAAATTTTCAAAGGAAAATTCCAAGAAGCCAAAATTCTACTGTTTCCTTTGTAGTTATTTGAAAATAAAGCAACCAGCTGGGATCCCTTTATTTGCACGCCTGAAAGTATGTAGCAGTGTGGCAAATGGTTCTCTGAAATGAATAAATAATGTCCTCTTTGGAATCACTGAATCATAGATTTTGAAGAATTCCTATGACAACATCACCCTTTTTCAAGTGAAATTATATTTTAGTTATCTTGGAAAAAAAGAAATTCTGTTTTAAAAAACATCCAGGAAAATCTAAAAAACACCTTATTATATTATAAATGTTTCCTGAATGATAACTGCAACTTTATGAGTTATCAACTATCAGGTGTTAAGCATTTCACAAACCTATTCAAAGATCATCACAATACCTTAAGGGTGATATTATCACCATTTTTCATACTAGAATTAGAGTCTTAGAGAATTTAAGCCATTTGCCAGCTCACACCTGACAATCATCAGGGGCCAAATCAGAACCAGATCTGACTAGTTTCAAAATTGGAGCCCTTCCAACCACATCCCCACTGACCGTCATACTCCAATAGACCCCAGACTCATCATGCTGAACTTTAGATTACTCTCTCCACTCTATTGTCAGAATGGCAGGAGAAAATACTTGGTTTATGTGTCGCCATCTTAATTATTTACTCACATAATCTCATTTGAACACACATTCTCTCTAAAGATATGTAAAATGAGAGAGTCTAATTTCTATAATCTTAGGCATGGTTCATAACTCTGAAATGAAGTTGAAAGTTGTATCTAAGCAAAAAAATCTTTTATATTTGCTCTAAATGCTTCTTTCTACCCTATTTTAATTTTGAATCATATAATGAGTGTTTTAGGTGAGTTGGATTATTCTCATTTCTTAACTTGCTCATGTGATGTTACAGTATATTAGAAGAGGAAAAGAACATACACACACATAATTAATGTTGGGCTTTGATGTATGACTTGCTTTAGCCAATGGAACGTAAGTGGTGATGAGTACAGTAAAGGCCATAAATGTGTTTGAATTGGTTGGCTCCTTGCACTCCTGTGATCTTCCGTGAAAATAATAGGCCTGAGGAGAACTTCAATTAAAAAATATAAAGGCATACAGAGCTAAGACCAGCAGATTCACAACCTAATGCAGACAAATGAGTAAAATCCAATGCTTTGTTGTCAGCCACTGAATATGAAAGCTTTTTGCACATTATTGTGGCAAAGGCTAACAAATGCATTTACCGTATCATCTAACTGGTTATATAGCTTAAGGACACTGGTACTTTTGGGCAAGCTACCAGTAGTTCTATTTGAATGATTTTTTAATATATATTTTATTGATTATGCCATTACAGTTTTTCTATTTCCTCCCTTCATTCTCCTCCACCCTGCACACCCCCTCCCCCACCATTCCCCCCTTTAGTTTATGACGATGTGTCTCAGGTTCTTTAGATTCTATATTTCCCCTACTATTCTTGCCCTCCTCCCTATCTATTTTCTACCTACCGTCTATGCTACTTATTTTCTGTACCTTCTCCCTCTTTCTCCTCCTCCCACTCCCTTGTTGCTACCCCTCCATGTGAACACACCAAGGTGCATCATCATTACTTTAGCCAAGATTAAAATGAAGGAGAAAATCCTAGAAGCAGCAAGAGATAAGGGGACAGTCACCTACAAAGGAGTTCCCATCAGACTGTCAGAGGATTTCTCAAAAGAGACCTTACAGGCAAGAAGGGGCTGGAAAGAAGTATTCCAAGTCATGACATCCAAAGACCTACATCCAAGATTGATCTATCCAGCAAAGCTTTCATTTAGAATGGAAGGGGAAATAAAGCGCTTCACAGATAAGGTCAAGTTGAAGGAGTTCATCATCACCAAGCCCTTATTATATGAAATGTTAAAGGGACTTATCTGAAAAAAAAGAAGATAAAAAGTATAAACAGTGAAAGGACAGCAAACTCACAGTTATTAACAACCACACCTAAAACAAAAGCAAACTAAGAGGACAGCTAGATCAGGAGCAGAACCATAGAAATGAAGATTATTTGAATGATTTTTTTAAATTGGGAATAACTGACTTTCTGACTCAGGAAAACTAATAAAAATGAAGATTTGCACATAAAGATATGGCAGATGCTAGTTTATAAACCCAGAATCCTAATACCAAAGGCACATTGAGAATCTACTCAGCTGATGGTTCAGTCCAGTTTTCCTATGGCTACTTACAAGTAAGCAGGTGGTACTGGATTTCAGGAACCTCACAATTATTTGTATGGTGGAACTTATAGTGGTGTTCAGTTAGAGATCATGTTAGTAAAATTCGCTTTTCTGGTAGTATTTATGAAATTAAGAAAAACCAAGTTTTTTAATGAGAATATTGCTCATCTTCAAAATCATTAAATATTTACTAAATTCTTTATTCTCATTTTCAATTAAACTTGTTAACCTGAATAACAAATACTTCAGATGATTTTACTTTGTGATATGTGATATACATGTAAGTATATATATAACAGATGTACACATTGTGAAGCTTACTAGTAAGCTCCTTCCCAAGTAGTGGCACTCCTTCCCACCCCCTCCCATGTAACCACTATTTTGGATTTTGTATTTACCATGCCTTATTATTATGCTTCTGTTACATGTGCATATGTATATCCAAGTATTTTCTTAATATCGCTTGGCTTTGAACTTTATAAAAGTAATACCATACTGTATATAATCTAAAACTCCTTATTATGTCTAAAACTCAATCATGTTGTATGTGTGGTTGTGGTTCTTTCATTTTCAGTGCTGCATATTATTTCATCATGTAAATACATCCTAATGTATTAACTCATGGGTAGTTGGGTTGTTTCCCATTATGTTCTGTTACAAATAATTGTTCTATAAAAATTCTTGTACATTTCCCTTGATGAACATAAATCAGAGTTTCTCAGGTTTATATATCTAATAGTAGATTCTCAGATTGCAATATGGGGAAAAACCCTTTCCAAATGGTTGCATCAATATACATGGTGGGACAAAGTAGGTTGACAGTGGTTTATATGGAAAATTATGGAATAATGGAAATTATGTAATAATTAATAAATAATGTGTACTCACAACTGTAAACCTACTTTTGCCCCACCCTATACTCTACCACAGCAGTCTGTGCCAAAACACTGGGCACACACTCTGGCTTCTTAAATTTTTGGTAATGTGTGTGTTAAGTTGCATCTCGTGTGGATTTTATTTACATTTTTCTGATTTCTAATAAGGTTGAGTTTTCCTAAGTTTTCTTAAGTTTCTCTGTTTTCCTATGTTTATGTTTTTTCTTTTTTGAAATGTCTGCTAATATCTTTTGACAATTTGTTTTTTGGGATTTTGTTAATTTTTAGTAATCTGTAATATTTCTTTATATATTCTTTTTTTTCCCATTCTTTGTCACTTTTATTCAGTAGTAGTTTTTTTTCCCTTATTTTCAGTGCCAGGCATGGCAAGGAGTGATTACAGCCAACTGTTACTAAAACATTTGTTCGCAGCATAGACTCCCCTTTACCACTGACCCCAAACTGACTCCTTTTGTGTGCTTTCGTTCCTTCTTGAATATACCACCACCAAGACTGGGTGAAGGGGCAAGGGTGAGAGACATGAAGGGAAGAGTCCAGGAGGCCAGAGAGGAGGAATGCTACAAGCCACAGTAAGAATGAGCTGTATTTAATTTTAAAAAGGGGGGAGGGGTGTACCCCACAAATGATACAGTAATGAGGATACACAATTAAATCCCATAAGCATGACTGACAGCTTTCACTGTGTTTGACATCATCACAATGCAAGGCATAGAAAGTGGAGTAAATCAATGTTGATGCAGTCCAATCTAGTCCATTAGGCAAGATGGTGCAAGAAGTCATTTAAATTAAAAGTGCCCTAACCTTACCTAAATGGCTAGCAGACATGGAGAACACCACAGTGAGGAATCCACAGAGCTTTCTCCATGTAGCTATACACGTGTTGTCGAATGGCACATTGTCAAACACTGGAAAGGGGCACCACAATGGACCTCTCTCCGTTTTAGGTACATATGCTAGTATCAACTATCAACTAAGCAAGAAGTGGGCTCTTCTGTTGGGAATGCCAACCTAATTCACTTTGTCTTGAAATATATACAGATTGTTTGTAGTAGCTACAGCAATGATGTTCTCCTTGGGGTGCCAGGCTGTATGAAGTATTTTCTTGTTGAAGTCTAGGCTGTCAACACTTATTTCATCCTTCTTTCTCTTGCCACTTGCACAGACTTTGCGTGGCTTCAGAACTGTGCGGGGTTTATTGTTTTCCCATGATGCTTCTAGGGTTATGTCTCGCTTTGTGTTCCTGTCAAACATTCTGAAGAAATTGTTGTAAGATCCAGTCATGACAACACTATCAGAGCCATTCCAACAACATTCGAATTTGTCAAATATGCAGTCATTTTCATACAGCGAACAAAGCTTACTTCTGAGGTATTCATGCACCTGATATGTCTCCACAGGCCTGTTTTCCATATTTAAGTCCCAAATTTTGACAGACAAATAGTCTCTAGTCATCATATATCGACCACTATGGCTGAATTTTACATCAGAAATAGAGGAGATGATTTCAGAAAAAAAAAGATCTGTTACTCGGATCTTCAGGTTCTTCAAACAATTTTGAATGTCTATCACAGAGGGCAGATGCCCTCATGTCACATAACCAGATTGTTCCTTTACTGCTGCTGTATACAAATGTGTTACAGCTGTTTGGATGGAACTCTGCTGCTGTAATAACCTCTGTCAGCTCTTCCATGTTGGCAGGCTTGATATCCACAATATTAAAGCTCCTGTTGGTAATTTCCAGATGCCAAAGATTAATCCGTGAATCATCTGCAGATAAATATGTTTCATAATCACTATTAATAGAAATCGAGTTGATGTGATATGTATGAGCATTGGCAAATATTCTCCGTGGACTGGCATCAACCATTAGATCCATGGGCCTAAAGACTGGCACTCGTAGTGTAGTGACTATAGTAGGATCTCTATACCTTCCATCTTCCTCTTTCAAATTATACCCTTCTGGTCTTTTGTCTCTTTCACTGATTTTCCATAATTTTATTGTTTTATAATTGGTAGACAATAAAAACTGAGCAGCATTTTTCTTGGGTAACCACCTAATTTTGTTGATCTTTTCTTCTATTTCTAAACTTTTCAAGTAGTCAAACTCTGGTTCATGGCTCTGAAAGGTGCTGTAAACATCATATTCTCCTCTGCTATGAGACTGGATTTTGTTCTCCTGCTCCTGTTGAAAGATGACGACTCTACCACCTTTATCTCCTGTTGCTAGTAATTCTCCAGAATGATTAAATTCTACTGTAGAAATTATATCTGCTTCAGCTACATCGTCATCTACTGCTCCTTTCACCTGAGAAAAACACCACTGAATATCATTCCCTCCTCCAGCTCCTGCCATGTTGCACTGCAAATGGTGACCCTCTTTATATATTCTTAATGAAAATTCATTTTAGATTATTTCTTGAAAATATATTCTTCAAGTTTTGACTTGCTTTCATTCTCTTCATGATGTGTTATGATAAAATGTACTTATTAATTTTAAAGCAGTTAAACTTAGTCTTTCTTCTTTTGTTTAGTGATTTGATGTCTTCTTTAAAAACTTTCATATTCTGAACTCACAAAGATAGTCAACTTTATATTAGCCTCTAAATATTTAACAGTTATCTTTGTTTTTTAAATTTTTAATCCATTTGAAAATAGTTTTGTGTATATGGTGTGATCGTTTTCCCTATAGGATAACGAAATGTCTCAGTAGCATTTATTGATGGTGTACCTTTCCCCAGTTATTTGTAATGACATCTATCAGATATCAAATCATCATAAATTTATGGGTCTGTTCTCTGTACTGTTTACTGGTCAATGTTCCTATCCCTGATTAATACCAGACTTTCTTAATTATGTTTACTTCAAATGTTTTCTGGTGAGCACAACTTCCATTCTATTGCATTTCATTAGAGTTAATGTGGCTTAGTTTTGATCCTGCTCTTTTATATATATTTTTAATAAATATGTCAAACTTTACTCTTTGTGACAGCATGGGTGGAACTGGAGAGCACTATGCTAAGTGAAATAAGCCAGGAGATGAGGGGCAAATACCATATGATCTCACCTTTAAGTGGAATCTAATCAACAAAATCGAACAAGCAAGCAAAATATAACCAGAGACATTGAAATTAAGAACAATCTGACAGAAACCAGAGGAAAGGTGGGAGGAGATAAGGCAGAGGAAGGGTTTTCAGGAACAACTATAAAGGACACATGGACAAAACCAAGGGTGGGGTGAAAGCAGGGGAGGGAAGTGGGGATGGCTGAGGTTAGGGGGGAATTGTGGGGGGAAATGCAGACAACTGTACTTGAACAATAAAATAATTTAAGAAATATTTTGCTAGAATTGTACTGTACTTAAAACAAATTTTCAGAAAACTGACATCTTGGGATGACACTAGTTTTTCTATCATGAACATGGTTTTGTCTCTCCTTTGCTTTATATCTCTTTAATGTCTGTAATAAAAGTTTATAACTATTTGTACATATTCCTGAAGTAACCATTTTTAGGTTTACTCCTGGATACCTATTTAGCTCTATTATGAATTATATACTTGTGTGAAAATACAATTTACTTTTGCACTTAGATTATACTGTATGCAGCCAGCATTTTAAACTGCCTTATAAATTCTAATAACATGTCTACAGATATGTTTGAGTTTTCCAAGTACAAAATGATATGATCTGAGAATAATGATAATTTTACTTTTTTCTTCCAATGTCCATATATCTTATATCCCTTTCTTTTCTTTACCTTTCTTTCATTTTCTTTCCTTTTTTGCTTTTCTTTTCTCCTCTTTACCAAATGACAAAGTTAATGGTGTGCCCAGATTTGGAAGTAGGCAAGCTACCCACATCTTGAAAACATCCGGGGCCCTTAGGATAAAAAAGAAAGTGAGTTGCGGCAAAAGGATATATCCATTTTTTACTCTACTCTGAGCATACAGATCTGTTTGGGAGTTGAGTAGCCTATTCTCTAGACAGAAACTGCTCAGTGGAGACTGGATCTCATCCAGATGTTTCCAATTAAAAATTTATGAGCTAGAAAACCTCTAGAGCTCTACAGTGATAATTCTCAAACAGGCCTTCATATAAATATTATGTGGAAGCTCTTAAAAATTTGAGTGCCAGGGCATTATTCTAGAAAAATTGCATCATAGCCTCTGGTAGTGAGACCCAGACACTGGTAATTTAATCTTCTTCAATTTCTTAGATAAGTCCCTTTAACATTTCATATAATAAGGGCTGTGTAATGATGAACTCCTTTAACTTGACCATATCTGGGAAGCACTTTATCTGCCCTTTCATTATAAATGATAGCTTTGCTGGATAGAGCAAAATTGGATGTAAGTCCTTGTCTTTCATGACTTTGAATACTTCTTTCTGCCCCTTCTTGCTTGTAAGGTTTCTTTTGAGAAATCAGCTGTCTTATGGGAACTCCTTTGTAGGTAACTGTCTCCTTTCCTTTTGCTGCTTTTAAGATTCTCTTCTTATCTTTGATCTTGGGTAATATAATTATGATGTGCTTTGGTGTGTGCTTGCATGGATCCAACTTCTTTGGGACTCTGAGCTTCCTGGATGTCCTGGAAGTCTATTTCCTTTGCCAGATTGGGGCAGTTCTTCTTCATTATGTTTTCAAATAAGTGTTCAATTTCTTGTTCTTCCTCTTTTCCTTCTGGCCCTCCTATGATTCAGATGTTGGAACATTTAAAGTTGTTCTATAGGTTCCTAAGCATCCCCTCATTTTTGAACTCTTGTTTTTTCATTCTGTTATGGTCGAATGTTTATTTCTTCCTTCTCCAAACCATTAATTTGAGTTCCAGTTTCCTTCCTGTCCCTGTTGGCTCCCTGTGAATTTTCCTTTAATTCAGTTTTCATAGCCTTCACTCTTTCCTTTATTTTTTGTCCATACTCAATCAATTCTGTGAGTATCTTGATTACCAACGTTTTGAACTCTGAATCTGAAAAGTTGGTTATCTCTTCATTGCTTGGTTGTATTTTTTCTGGAGCTTTGATCTGTTCTTTAATTTGGGCCTTTTTTTTTTTGCCTCAGCACACCTGTTATATAGCAAGGAGAAGAGTCTTAGGTATTTGTCAGGGCAACCCACACTGATGCACTGTGGACCTGTATGTGGAGGAGGGGTCCAAGAGCAAACAATGCCACTTGTTCAGCTCTCTGCTGGCTTTCAGTAACTTCCTCCACTACCCACAAGCAAATTGGGCTCTTCTGGTGCTGATTCCCAGGTAGGCAGATTTGTGTATGTTCTAGGACCCTCTGGGTCCTCTGGGTCTCTCCAACAAACTCTACTGTGAGGCTGGAAGTTTCTTCCACTGCCTCAACCCCACAGGATTTTTCAGTCAGAGGTTTTGGGGCTTTATTTTCCCACACTAGAACCCTGGGTCACATGGTCTATCTTGTTCCCCAGTTGTTCCTCCCAATTTATCCATGTGCAAATATGGGACTGCCCACTCCACCGGCCACCACCTCTCCCAGTCTGGTGGACTGCCTTGTCCACCCCAGTCTTCTACCTGCTACATTGCCACAAATCCTCTCTGTCTCATCTGCCCATTTCTACTCCTCCTACCTGTCTGGATAAATGTTTCTTCTTTAACTCCTTGGTTGTTGAACTTCCATGCATTTCAATTTTCTGGCAGTTCTGGTTGATTTTTGTTTTTTAAATTGTTGTTGTCCTTCTTTTGGTTGTGTGAGGAGGCACACTGTATCTACCTATGCCTCCATCTTAGCTGGAAATCCTGTTAATAATTTGTTTACTGAGATAAAAGAACACTTAATTATGATTTAAGACATTTCAGCAGCCAGAAGTTGAAAAAGATAAGGAACTTCTTGCTAGATAAGGAAGACATAAATTATAACACTGAGTAACTGGAGGATCACAGAAAGTGGGGACCACTTAAGACAAACTTACCCAAATTCTTTCATGATACTTTATTGTTTGGTAAGAAAATTGAAGTCATGCTGGTTAGTGCACAAGTTGTTTGAAGAGCAGAAATTCAAACTTGTTGGTATTATGTTTAATTTCATGTAATTTTCCCCTGCTTTCCTGTATTATATACTATGACAATCTAGTTGTTTAAATAATTAATCACTAAACTTAATTATTACAACTCAGGGGTGGGAAGTGCAGCGATGTGGAGTGGTAGGCAAGCCAGAACCAGAAATCATTATTCTAGCTTGAAGGTAGCCAATACATAGCTGTTACTATCACTGAAACTCATAGAAGAAATAACTAATCAATTATACACTTATTCAAAGTGCAGTCTTTTCTCAATACAATGATCCAGACATAGCAGGTGAATACTACTTACCATCTCTAATGCTAGATAAATAGTATAAAATAAAATCTGTACTGTAACCAGTCCAAACTCTCTTTCAGTGTAACTTTAGGCATGTTAACAATGTCTATAGGGATAACATAGACTGATGTTGATTATACTTATTTAAGACTTTGATTTTTTATGGTCAAGATTAAAAAGAAAATGCATTGATTATAATAGTTAATGCCAAGTCCAAAACTGACATTAAACATTTTGGAAAAATAAATATTTCTTGACCCATCAGACACTGTACCAGATGGAAAACGAGCTATCCTGAAAATAAAGGGAACTAACTTTTACAAACTTATTCTAAAAAAGCATATTACAATTTAAAAGGAGGAACAAATATAAATGAACTACAGTATGTATCTTTTTAAAATATATTTTATTGATTATGCTATCACAGTTGTCCCATTTCCCCCCCTTTATTCCCCTCCATCCTGAACACCCTCTCCCACTCACATTTCCCCCTGTAGTTCATGTCCACGTGTCTTAAGTTCTTCAGTTTCTACATTTCCCATACTGTTCTTGCCCTCCCCCTGTCTATTTTCTACCTACCATCTATGGTACTTATTCTCTATACCTTTTCCCCCTTTCTCCTCCACCCACTCCCCTGTTGCTAATCCTCCATGTGATCTCCATTTCTGTGTTTCTGTTCCTGTTCTAGTTGTTTGCTATAACAACCAGAGGAATAATATAGGAATGCTGGCAAGTATAGCTGATTGTAGGAGGAGTTGGAAATAGGGCTGCAAAGGAGGACTCACATGAGGATTTAAACCCAGACACCATAGCCATGTAATCAGAGGAGAGGGAGCCACACGGCTGTGGCAGTGCAGAGAGAGAGAGCCACACACTTTTGGATAGAATGGGGACCCCTGCAGCTGTTCTAGTTAGTTTGTTTTTGTGAGGGTTTTTTTTAGGTGTGGTGGCTAATAATTGTGAGTTGCTGTCTTTACACTGTTCATATGTTTTATCTTCTTTTTCTTAGGTAAGTACCTTCAACATTTCATATAATAAGGGCTTGGTGATGATGA